ACTGTCGGCTGTCCAGTCAGATACTCTACCTAAATTTGAATAAATCTGGGAGCCATGGATTGCTTCCTATATGTCACCAACCTTCCATCTAGATTCGTTCATTATCTAAATCCTTCACCACTCCCGCTCACCTTTCTACCCATTCAGCCCTTCCTCCCTACCCCCTTCCCTCGCGATGAGTCTCCTTCGCAAGATCTATGTTCGGGCAGAGCCTGGAAGGTGGCTTAGCCACCTCTTTTAAGGTATGCGATAGACGATAGTTCGGTTACAGTTGTATGTTTTAATATTTACTGCTCATATTTCTGTAATTATAAGCAACAATGTATGGTATCCATGTACGTCTAATTTTATTGAGCTGTACGTACAGCGTTTGTACTTTTGTATGAGCTATTTACGTTTGTTAAAAAATATATCAAAATTAATAAAATTGATTAAACAAAATGTAGGTGTTAAGTCCAGGTTAAGGGGAAGGCTACTACTGTCTTCCTTTAGGCGAGCCCTGAAAACTCATATCTTCTGGAAAGCCTATCCCCCCCTACCTAACAACTGAACTTTTTACTTTCTCAAACAACTTATCCCCACACAGCTACCACCTTTTGCATCATGTGGCCTTCTCTTTTAGATTGTAAACTCTCATGAGCAGGGCCCTCCAAACCATCTTGAATTGTATTGTAACTGTACTGTCTTCCTTTATATTGTAAAGCGCTGTTTAAACTATATATATGTAAAGCGCTGTTTAGCACTATATAAATCCTGTATAATAATAAGGCTTGGCTCACATTTTTTGTGTTACAGATGGGCTCAAAGCCAGCAAGGCTCCATTCACACCTAGGCATTTTTTAGCTCCTTTCCCTAAGCATGACAACTCTCAACAAGAGGAATCCCATTGTTTTCAACAACTCCTGTTGACACCTGAGTGTTTTTTCCATAGTCCCGTGAATCTTTTTTGGGGCAGAATTATGTGTTTTGGTCTCATAGACTTAAATGGGAGCTCTTGAAAAACACTTGACAAAATGCATGTTTACTCATTCGCTCTCATTCGAAGGTCTATGAGGCCAAAAATGCCGTTTCTGCTCCTGTACTACAAGTCGCACATAAAACGCTTTAAAAACACACGTACAAAAGAGAGAAAAAGCCCCTAAATCACCTGGTTTTGCTCATGCTTACAGTATGTGTGCATGGGGCCTAAATGAGCCATTGTATGAGAAAAAGCTTCAATAAAAGCTGCTAGTGCTAAAAAATGTATTGAAATTCCACTTTTACAACTAAACAATATGGTGCAACAATTGTGAATCTATATATGTTTCAAACAAGTCAGATATCCATTTAGAGATACACATGTGTACTTACTATAATTCAGGTCCCAGATTTGATTAAAAGTTCAAGATTTATAATGAGATTTGCCTTAGTTCTTTAATTCTATAATCATGACAACTATAGCGCTATACTGTTAATGCTGTGTCTTCTGATCTTGTAGATAAAAATCCTCCAGTACAGTTAGCATGGTCTTTTATTTACCCTTCAATTCCAACTCAGACCCAATCAAACAGTTAATCGTATTTAAAAAAATCTGCATAGATCCCTTGAGTATAATTAGTTCATAGAAAACAAAACAATAACACCCTTACCTAAAGATGTTTATTCTTAATTTGCCAGTTTCCATATATGTAATGTTATAATGTGTTATTTGGAGCTGATCGGCTTTGACATTTTGAGGAGGAAGTGACACATATGTTTTAATTCTTTCTACACTACTTAGGATGCAGTATCCTCATTCAGTTGTAGCTGTAGGTAATTGTAAAGTTTGAAGTTTTTAAGTCCTCAAAATTAATCATCATGTTATTACAAATACTGTATATGATCAAAATAGAAAAGCTAATCACAGTACATAAATTAATTTGTACCTTCTGAAACAGGTCAGACTATAAATGTACTACATATACATGGCAATGGATGGCTACATTAATTAATACATTGATTATCACAAAGCTACAGTTTAACTTTTTAATTTAAAGCTAAGGTTTAATCTGCTTACATGACTAATGTAGAACAGATGTCCCAATTCCCTTGATGCCAAAAATTTCTGGAACCACCAAACTCCCCACTTCATCCAAATAAACCAGACTAACATAGAAGCCCTTTTATTATACAAAATATTAAATATGACAGAACTGTAAATTCAAGCATGAGGTTTCAAGGCCTTTTGAAGGCCAAAATGATTAACATGCTTAACTCTGTTAGACCCCCCCCAGCTGTACCACACCACCTCTGGGACAACCTGCACATTGACCCCAGACATATCCATATCTCAATTACCTATTCGACTAGTATATAACATCATGACTTGAGGACCCATACCAATACAGGTCCCCAGACATTAACCATAATTTAACTCTTTATTCCTTGTTTCCCTGAAGCCAATTGGCAAATGTACGCGGGTAGAGCCTGTAACGCCATCTTTCCTCATCCTCCCTCTTACTCTCCTCCGCATTTACCCTATCCAGATAAAATTTCTCAAGCCGAAGGAGAGTAAAAATATTAACATACTCACCCTTCCAGATCTTTCTCCACACTTCCGTTTCCAAGTGAGCCCCCAGTGGGCCCTCGAAGCACACGTAGACCTCACATTTTGCAGAGTTAGCTAAACGAATCCCGGCACCCCTGTGTTCCCATCGGATGCCTTATCCGACCTGTCAGCAGCAGTTGCTGCCACTGTTGGCGGCAAAGCTGCAGGGGCGGGAGTCAAAGACCCACGCACCAGCGGGGCCCCCGCCACTGGCCCCTCCGAACACAGCACCTCCTGTGCCGCACCGAACCCTACCACAGTCTGGACCACAGGCAGCCGAGGCTGCCAAACCGACACAGGGGAAGCCCCCATCCCTGGCTCAAACCACTGCAACAAGTCCTGTATACCCCCCAACAAATCCTGGATCCCTGGGATTGGCTCCTGCCCAGCGGGTTGGAAATCCGCTGCACCAAGAGCTCGGAGAGCCGTCCTCAAACCCACTTGAATATAAACCAATCCCACCCCCAACACAGAATGCAAGGAGGAAAGGAAAGAAGAGGAAAAACACTCAACAGGCTGCACAGAAACGCTCCCACAAGCCCGTTCTGGTTTCGCAACACCAAGGTCTTCATCCTCTGACACCGTCCATTGACTGAAAATTAATCTGGAGTGCGAGTGACCTTTTCTACATTAATTCATTCTCTGACACCATCACCTACCCTTCAGGGTAAGTGTCCGTGACCTCCTGGACATCACTGACCCGGTCCCCACCAGGTGACTGCCTGGCTGTTCCAGTGCTGGGATGGCTCCTGCAGGCATCTTCACCCTGCACAGGGGCGTGCAGGGTGCCTCTTCTTGATCCCTCGAGCGCAGCGCTGCTCGCAGGGGCCACGGGCATCTTCTTGGGCAGCCCCGCGGTCATCACAGCAGACTTCACGCAGCAAGGACCCCATCTAGAGCCATCGGCCGCACCAGGAGACATGCCGGAGCCCGCAGCAGGTACAGTCCCGCGCCGGGCTGCCTCCCCGACCAAAGCATCGTCTTGAGGGGAAGAGGGATGGCTGCTGAGCGAACACACCCACTCCCACGGGCTCCGCCAAGGACGGGGATTCCTCCCAAGCCTGTCACTGGCTGGAGCAGTATGGCAATTGCCAGCGGGCCTGGAGGGTCCCTGAACCCACTACGTCGCTGAGCCCTGGGTAAGGAAGGGGGAGTAAAGCGCTCCGGAGGGTAGGACCTCCGAGCACGTGGTGCCTCCAGCTCTGCGGGACAGGGAGCTGTGGCAGCTGACAAAATCCCACTGAACTGCTGCTTTAGCCAATCGAGCCACGTGTCAACGCTGCGGCCCACAAATCACCAAAAATCCTATCTAATTCACTCATCCCTGTCGTCTGCTTCACTAACAGGATCAAAAAGACTCCAAGGTCAAGAAGAACAAGGTCAAGGGCAAAGTTCTCTCTTCATCTGACGATCTCCGTCTAAAGTCAGTGAGACCCTCCTTCTCAGACCACCACGAAGGGTCCGCCCGAACATTGAACCTGACCAATTGGTAAGTGACCCTGTCCTATTAACAGGTATAAAAGTTGTCTAATTTATTTAGTGGGGGACCCATTAGTCAGGAATTGACTCACGCTTAGTTATAGGCTCAGAAATGTAGATATTTTTTTTTATGCTATTGACATGCTGTACAAATCCCTCCTGCATTGAAGATGTGTTGTTTGCTGCCTTGCTGAATAAAAGTGCAGGACAAACCTGCTTGGATGGTTCCTAGCAGTCCCTGTCTTATGCATAACTAGTCTATGAAATGTGACTTGGGGATATCGCTGTTTGCCAAGCATGCTTTACAGCAGCCGGATGCATGGGCTTCAGAAGCTGCACACCCCCTACACCTTGCCCAACTTCCCCCCCCAGCCATGTATCCTGGGCTCCACTGTCCCTCTTGCAGGCCTGGAACAGCCATGGCAGGTCTCGTTGGTAAGATGGGAGGGAGACCAGAGAGCATCCATTCGCTGATCTCTCCTCCAGTAGTTTAACCTAGAAGAGACAATTAATTCTTCACTTCTGGGTTCAGAGCTGTAATTCTCTGGCGACAGAGACTGGGAAAGACAAGGAAGTAGAAAGGTGACATTAGGGGTTCAATAGTTCCCTAATGTCTCCTTAAAGGAAGCCTAGCAAAACAAATGGCAAACGCACTCATCAACTCATAACCAGCTTTAAAGCTAGGTGCACATGGAAGGTCTTTATACAGTAGAACAGCAAAAAGTTTCTCAGCACACTCACCAGCCAGCATGCAAAAAAAAACAAAAACTGTCTAACCGCTAAGGTTAAAAACAGAGGTTTTAGATCAGGGGTCTCAAACTCAATTTAGTCAATGAGCAGGAATTGTAGATTGTACTATGTGGACTGATCATGTTACCATGTGGTCCTCTTAGTAGGAATATATTGACTCTCTATATTTTTTTATGGAGAAAAGCATGTACAGTAGCTCAATCAGAAAACACAGCACTGTCCATGTTGCCTCACTGGGCAATCCGACATATGTGTACTCCCTTCCTATACCTTAAACCAGGGGTCAAACTCAATTTAGTCGGGGGCCACTGGACAATTTTTTTAGACCCGTGGGGGCCGCTACTATATACGGTACCAGTTTTAATGTATGCACATGTTACAAGTGGCAACTGTCACCGATTCAAATTAATGATCGGGTGACCGCTGCTGCATGTAAACACCTGCACACTGCATGTAATCATATATAAAAGGATTACATGCAGTTAGGACTCAATCACTCTCCCTGGATACACGATTGTTTATCCAGGGATAGTGATTGTTTTTGCGGTATGCAGGCGTGTACATGCAGCGGCTGTCAACTGATCATTAACTTGAATGGGTGACAGTTGCTGCATCCCAGATAGCAAGTAATTGAGCTGCAAGTTTGAAAATGACTTGCTAAACTATTGCAGACTTGCCAAGCTTCACAATTTTGTTGCACAATTAAAGCAAGTCTGCATTGCAAGTCTCCAGTCCAGCGAGCTTGCAGAGCTCTTGCTAAGACCTGCAGGACTCTTGCTGTAGATTTGCTACAAATTCAAAAAGTGTCAACTAGAACTTGTGCTGCGAGTGTTCTGCAAGTCTACAACTTGCCAGGAATGTGTGCAGCAAGTTAACAAGAATTACAATTTAACCTTGGCACAAGTTTGTGGCAAGTTTTCCTTGCTATCTGGGATGTAAACGACAGATTAGGGATTCCTGCTGCAGGAAAACACAAGTTTGTAACACAGGAATCCCTAAATCGCACCTGAAATATAGGGGACCCCCCCATTCCAATTCATCGTTCCCTGGTTATCTAGTTGTGATTAGTAAGGTCTAGTGCAGACCTTACTAATGATCCATCATTCGGCTGGAGCTCAGAACTGACAGAGCTCCGGCCGGAGCTGACAGGTGCAGCTCTGCTGTCTGCATCCGACAGAGATGCAGACCGTGTAGCTGCTCCCGCAAGTCGGGCACGTGGTCCGTGACCATGTGCCCCACTTGTCAGCTGGCTGCGGGCCACATAGTACCGGCTCGCGGGCTGGAGTTGGCTGCATGCCGGTACTTTGAGACCCCTATTTTAGATACACGTTTTCTGCAGAATATGTGAAAGCCGCACTACCTTGTCAAGGCCCCTCTGTGTAGTGCGGTCCTAACTCTAACCTATGAGAGTGTCCATCTTGGAACACATGTAGCAAAAGATAAAATTGGGTGCAGGTTCACCAGGAGGCAGCCCAACCTCCTTAAAGGCACTTGTGACGAGGGAGCATGGAGCCGGCGTCCCGGCCAATCTGGAAGCCGGGAAGCGTGTAATGACTCGCTGCCCGGCTTCCTGGTTGGTCGGGAATCTGGCCAATCAGGAAGCCGGGAGCCATGTAATGATGCGGTGCCCCGCTTTCTGCTTGGCCGGGAAGCCGGCTTCATGCTCCCTCGTCACCTCGAGACGCGGGAGCATGGAGCCGGCTTCCCAGCAATCTAGGAAGCCGGGCGTCGGGAAGCATGGAGAGGGCTTCCCTGCTAATCAGGAAGCCGAGTGGCGGGTCTTTACACGCCGCCCGGCTTTCTGGTTAATCAGGAAGCCAGGTGGTGTGTCATTACATGCCGCCTGGCTTCCTTAATGGGACTTCCGGTAACGGTATCCGAAAAAAAGTACGGAGCAAAAATTATTAGTACTCGATACCGAAAAAACGATATCAGTGCATCCCTAGTTAACAGCCAATCAAAAAAAAATGCAAAATATGCCTGAAAGAAGATTGGTATTTGGGCTAAATAATTCCACTGAAGACAGTATTGTATAAGGGACCACTGTTAACCCCTGTGTTGCGATATATCTTAGTGGACTTTTTCAGACACACATAAATTTGCAAGAGAGACGGAGGTTTTGTTTGTTTGTTGATAGAAACTTGGTTCATACAATGGAAATGGCCAACAATACAGCCCAAACTGGTTTTACACAATGGGGTAGCCTGTCCTGTATTGATTTGTATCACAATGGGATGGTGATCGTGAATAGTCACGCCTAGCCTGGTCAAGACTCAAATCAAATCTTGACTACTGATGGCAATTTATGGTACAACGCTGCCGCCTAGAGGTGGGAAACTGTATTGCATTTTCCTAAAGGTCTAGGGGCGTAGCTTCCATTGTTTTAGGCAAGTTTTCTCTCAATAAAAAGCCAGTAGCTGAAAGGTAACCAGCAGTTCACCAGCCCAGCACTTCACAAGACCAGGGCTTCACAGGAGGGGGACAGTACGAGGGCGCTTCACAAGACAAGAGGACTTGCTTCAAGACCAGGATACTGCAACGAGAAGCCATTCTTCCTAGGCCAAGTCCTGCTCATCACGGAATTTATTGGAGCCTGCAGCCTAAAGCTAAGTACATTTTCAGTGTTTCCCCTCCTGTGAAATCATACATGTACTAGAAGATAGTGTAGTGGGTGCATGTGAATGTTTGTAGGAGCCTGTCTTGTTGATGTATTTGTTTGCTTTTCTTGTAACTAAGTTTGTACACGCAGCATTTTCGCCAAGTAAAGTACTTTTAATGCTACTGGGTCAGTTTCCTTGAAGTTTACTGCAAGAACAGACAACAAATAGAAATTAAAGTTTTGCCAAGCTTTACAGCTGGGCTCATCCTTGGGATAAGCTTGACGTCTCTGGGATTTGTAGTCCAGAGCATTACATTTGGGGGCTCGGTCCGGGATTGCAGTGAACTCAACTGAAACAGACTTGTCTTTAGGTTTTGTACTAGATCCAAGTTGGGACGTGTTGGCCAGGATTTGTACTAAACCCAGTTGTAAAAGACCTGTGTTTTCTGTAGTGTTTTCTGCTTGTGCTAGGGAAAATGCTGCGTAAATTGTTTAGGAAAAGCAAGACTGTAGATGTTTCTGGTGTCCAGGAGGGGGCGTGCAACCTGCGTGCCTGGGCCAGCAAGGCTGCAGATGTTTCTGGTGTTCAGGAGGGGGCGTGCAACCTGCCTGCCTGGGCCAGCAAGGCTGCAGATGTTTCTGGTGTCCAGGATTCTCTCATGAACTTTGCCAAAAGACTGAAACACCTCTTTAGTAGAGGAACTTTGGTGGGTTGTTGTATCCATTGTGAATGAATGCTTGGTATGAGTGTTATTAGTGGTTAGGGTACACTCATTTAATTTTTCCTGTGTGGTATCTGAAATAGTCCAGGGCGGAATGTGTTGCAATATATCTTAGTGGACTTTTTCAGACACACATAAATTTGCAAGAGAGACGGAGGTTTTGTTTGTTTGTTGATAGAAACTTGGTTCATACAATGGAAATGGCCAACAATACAGCCCAAACTGGTTTTACACAATGGGGTAGCTTGTCCTGTATTGATTTGTATCACAATGGGATGGTGATCGTGAATAGTCACGCCTAGCCTGGTCAAGACTCAAATCAAATCTTGACTACTGATGGCAATTTATGGTACAACGCTGCCACCTAGAGGTGGGAAACTGTATTGCATTTTCCTAAAGGTCTAGGGGCATAGCTTCCATTGTTTTAGGCAAGTTTTCTCTAAATAAAAAGCCAGTAGCTGAAAGGTAAAGAGCAGTTCACCAGCCCAGCACTTCACAAGACCAGGGCTTCACAGGAGGGGGACAGTACGAGGGCGCTTCACAAGACGAGAGGACTTGCTTCAAGACCAGGATACTGCAACGAGAAGCCATTCTTCCTAGGCCAAGTCCTGCTCATCACAGAATTTATTGGAGCCTGCAGCTTAAAGCTAAGTACATTTTCAGTGTTTCCTCTCCTGTGAAATCATACATGTACTAGAAGATAGTGTAGTGGGTGCATGTGAATGTTTGTAGCAGCCTGTCTTGTTGATGTATTTGTTTGCTTTTCCTGTAACTAAGTTTGTACACGCAGCATTTTCGCCAAGTAAAGTACTTTTAATGCTACTGGGTCAGTTTCCTTGAAGTTTACTGCAAGAACAGACAACAAATAGAAATTAAAGTTTTGCCAAGCTTTACAGCTGGGCTCATCCTTGGGATAAGCTTGACGTCTCTGGGATTTGTAGTCCAGAGCATTACAACCCCCCTGACTTAAGTCATGTTTTTTTTGTACAAAGAGATGCCTAAGATTTTGGCTTGGGAACAATCTTGACCTAAGAAATTCATGGGGAAGAACAACCAGGAGCATACCTACTAGAAACCAGAAACTAACCTCTACAGAGAGGAACAATTCAATAGTGGAAAAGAAGTGTCTGGCCATAAAGTGGGCACTAGTGTCCCTGAGGTATTACCTTTTAGACAGACACTTCTGATTCAATGCAGACCATTCTCAACCACAGTTAACGTCTTGGAACAAAGGAAACAATGTATAGCATGTGACTCCCTAAGTTGCTGCTTAAATTATTGGGTTCTTTAGTCCTTGCCAGTGGTGACCCATCCTCAACTGGATCCAACTCATCAACACACCAGAAGTCATGTCCACACATGCAGGGGTCACAAGATGGTTTCTGTAAGAAATTGTATGTAGAATAGAGGCTGGGGATCAAGCAACGGAATGTGGATGAACTGTCAAGCGTACATTGTATGTTGGCAAAATTAGGGTATGTGAGGCACTGACTGGCAGGATTACAAGGACTTAATAAGTCCTGTCCTGGGTCCTGGATCCTTTGTAGAGCTTTGGGTGGGAAAAGCCTCCATTCCAAGGCCAAATCATACCTGGTAGCGGGACCTTATTAATTAGTCTTAAAAACAGTCTAGCTGTCCACTTTTAAATGTGAGCTGACTGACGCTGAAGGCTTTTTCTTTCTCACTCTCTCCATTGTGATGCCTGTTACTAGGTGAAAAGGCTGACTGCTGACAGAACACTAAAAATGTACAAGAGCTGCCTGTTAGTTTTAGGAAATCTATTAGGGGGCACCCTGTTGGTCAGGAAATGACACGTTCAGTTAGTGGCTCAGACGAGCATTTGTTATGCTATGGATTTGCTGTACAAAGCCTTCATGCATTGCTTGGACTGTCCCT